TAGTGAAGCCCTGAGAGGACACGCTCTGAGGATGAAGAAGGAAAGACCCAGACTAGGGATCATAAGTCACTTATTTGCAGCAAGAGTAGTAAATGACTGGAATAATCTGCTGAGTGAAGTATTAGAAGTCGATACGGTAACGCAATTCAAGCTGCAGCTTGATAGAGCTTGGGGTAACATATTTGACAATGAATGAAGAACACACCAGAGATGTTGTATCGCGGTGACTGAATTAAGGGCGTTCCTTTTCACGTTGCACTATCAACGTAATAATAATGTATATTTCACGAAGCCCGTGAAGCATGCACAAGGCAGGATCATATGTTCAAAGTAATCATATGTAAACGACAGTACAGGTATATAGATAGTCTACTTGGAAGACAGAAATAATGGAGATGGTAGGGGAGCAGAACGAAAACGCTGTGCAAGCGGAACACAAAGTAGACAAGGTCACAAACGTAAATGGGGGGATGGAGGAATGTACTATATAAGTATATCAATCGAAATTGAAGTAACTGCTAACCCGGTATCGAGGGAAGTTGACGTGCGGCAATAATGGGAGAAGATGCGGAGAGACAGACTGTATAACAATGGACGGGAGAAAATAGAGTCACTCGGATAAGATTAAATAGGAAGGAGTACAGCGAGTTCATACGTTTAGCAAAATACATGTTCCTCATTGTGCTGCAACACAGCTTGCTTCTGAAGACACATTCATTCGGTTCGGGACTTCGATCGGTCATGGATTGATTTAGATTATTTAGGCTTTGGTCGCTTTGATGTGGGACTGGCTACACGCCCGACCCCCAACCTTAAAATACCTTTTAGGTGAAGCAGAGGGTGTGATTCTCAACCTGGTCCGGAATGCGGACGCATGCAGTCAAAACTGTGGAAACAGCCGTGCCCAACAACCATTGCCGGGACCAAATTGTCCATTGTGGGTGTAGACCCCAAGCCTTTGACAGGCCCAAGTCAACGGTATCTGGAACAAAAAAACCATGCTAAACGATCTAGGGTGATACCCAGCTGAGAAGGGATGAGGGGAGAAATAGCACATCATGAAACAATGGGCAAAGTGGAATAATACGGGGTACTATATATATAAATGTATATATATGTTTATATATATAGCCAAGTATTTATAGGTATATGTGAATATATAACCGATAAGCATGTAGCGAGTGTGCCACGCCGTCTGGCCAAATAATTTGAACTGAAATGAGGTGAGGAATGTTTCTGGTAATGAATAAGTGGTCACAATACTTCTAAGAGTATGTAACAAGATGGAATGTGTTCCGCAGATGCAGCTTTGAAGCTGAATTGGTGTGCTGGTAGGAATTCGGTTTAGAAAATGGAAACAACTACCTTATCTTTTTGAATTTTTTTATGCATGCAGGTCTGTGACAAAAGCTTACACGGAGCACGATAACGGAGAATCTACCATTCCCTGATGACCTTACCGTCGTCAAGTCGAAGCACTGGGGATCCATAAACCCACCAGTGCTAGAAACTGGACAGGTGGCAACTAGCCGTCAAGTCCTGGATCCCTGAACTAAACAGAACAGGACAGTTCACAGGACTTGCGGCTTGAGCCAGCATAGTAGTCCAGGTTCTTGCGTCTGCTGGCCACGTGTGTGTCGTAACGCTTCGACAGTGAGTCGATCGGTCCTTGGTGGTGTAGGGGTACGGTCGCGGAGCAGGGACACTAACCGATTTGCTGTCGATGAAAGCAGCACCAGCTGATCAGTCACAGGCTAACCAGGAGGTCCGAGTACCCCTCCAACAAACAGTAGAAAACCCGCAGGCATACGAAAATAGGTCAAGGTGAGAAAAGAAAAGTAAGCTAGCACGGGGAGCAGGATGTGGGAGGAGGTGTGAGCTGGAGTTACACAGGTGAAGTGAAGGTAGTTGAAGTAGAATAATAATTAATAATAAAAAATGGGAGGAAAGCGGTGTTCGGGAAAGCTAAAGATATAGCTACCATCAAGGACTGTTGCTTCTCTCCTTGGGCCGATTCGGGGAAGGTTACGTCCCACATCTCATTAAGCCTTCTTTTGAACGGTGCCAATCTGGAAGGTGAGACAACCTCATCAGGAAGTCTATTGCAGGCGTTGATCACCCTATAAGAGAAGTAGTTTGCCCTTTCTCTCTTTAATGCGCGGGGTTTGACCAGCTTCAGCTGATGTCCTCTTAGGGCTGGGTTTTCACTGAGGGAGAAAGGTTGCCTGCTAGATTGTGAGAGTCCCTTCAGTATCCTGAAAACCTCTATTAGGTCACATCTCATTCGTCTATGAGATGGAGAGAACAAGTTTAACTTTCTCAGACGCCTCGGATACGACATCATCCTCAGGGCAAGAAAAAAGCCTAGTGAATCGTCTCTGGACGTGTTCTAGAGCCTTTTGGTCGCGTAAGAGGTTCGGCTTCCATGCCTGTACGCAGTAATCGAAGTGCCGGACGCACCAATGCCTTGTAGAGGGGCAGTAATACTGCAGGGTCCCTCGATGCTACTGCTCTTCTCAGCAAGAACAGCACCTTAGAAGCCTTTACTGAGGCTAGCTGACACTGTCTTGTGGGCTGAAAGGAACCATGCATGACGACACTATGTTCCTGGCCCCGTCAGTGATTTCCACTGATGTGGGCCCCGTGCCATTTATCAGCCTCGCTTCTTCGATGGATCCCCTAAGAGAAGCTATTTACACTTGCTAGCATTGTGGCAACAGCCACTCCTCCGTCCACTTCTGGACTTCGTCTAGGTCATCCTGAATGGCGTTGGTGGAGGGGTCACCGATAATTTTAACGTCATCGGCAAACAGAAAGGAGGGTTGTACTATCCTCTGGGTCAGGTCATTTATATAGATGAGGGAGAGTAGAGGTCCCAGCACGGACCCTTGGGGCACACCACTACAGGCTGCCCCCCTGGTGGACATTTCACCCTCTAATCTGACATAGAAGGACCGGCCAAGTAAGTGCTCCGTAATCCATCAGACGACCTGTTCAGACGGACAGAATATCTTCAGTTTTTGATCAGCAGTGAACTGAAATGTATTTACTATCCAGATGCTCATTGGCCTAAACTATAAGCAGATACTGCATCATTCCCTAGGGGCTCGGATCTCCCCTCTTCCCTTTCAGTTTTTTCTTGCAATTATCGGAATCTCCATCCCAGTGACGCTCACTAACGGACCGTGCTCTTACCATCTCGCCAGCGGGCATTGCCCATCAATCAAAACCCGAAGATAACCAAAATCCAGGACCATTCGGCCTATCCTGGAACCCATGAAATACTTCAAGATTCCAATGCGTGGTCTGAATGTTTGAAGTGCTATAACAGAGGTGAAACGTTTGCCATTTTAGGGAAGTAACGTAGGTTATTTCATATTGCACATACCAAGGTATTCCCAAGGCACAATTGTCACTAAGAAAATATCGTTTGTTCCTCGAATTTCATTTAGAACACAGTTTTTTCGTTTTTTAGAGTAACACTGTACACAAACGCGTACATGTTTTTTGCTTGCCTCACGCAGAGACAACTAGTTTATACATAGGTAAAAGTTTTCACCCTTTTATTCGCTTTCTGTGGTATTTGTGCTATGTCACTCGCATCCGACAACTGCTTGTCCTCTAGCTGCGGTCAAAGAGTTGCGAGAGCTTTACAGTGCGAACTCTGCGAAAGATGGGCCCATTCAAAATGCTCAGGGATGCCCAGTAAACTATATGCCCGGCAGCGCAAGTGGACCGAGTGGGTTTGCATACCATGCAAGGATGTCGGACGAACAGCGAACCGTGGAGCCCAAAACACGCACAGCTTTTTGGGACACCTGAAATGGGCGAGCATTTGAGTCCTCCCAGAGCACAAACGGCTGCCCCGAAACGGTTGTATGCCGAAGCAGCTGCTGCTGCAACTAAAAAAGCAGAAGGAAATTGCAAACCAAACTCAGGAGGAGACCGTGCGTTAGCTACCTCCACTACCACTCACAAGCTACATATATCACAGTGCAGAGACATCATTTCGAAGCCGAAGTCGAAAATTCTTGTTTGAAGCGATAAGAAGCCTCTCCTTTAGATGCAAGGTTCCGCCGCTTCTAGCTATCAGGAGCTAGGGAACAAAGTAGAGGTCCTTGAAATTCGAATTAATAACATGAAAAGGAGTGTACAGTGACAGTTGCAACCTTTTCCGCTCATGTACCTTTTCCGTCTTCCGGACCTTGTTGTTTTACCGGACCAAGATTAACTCGTTGGTCACGGTACTTTGACTTTCACTTTCTTCACGCTTGCTTACCTGTACGCTTCTCTCTCTACTTTCTAGCTCATTCCAATACAACCGTCGTGGAGGTTTCGTGATACCAGTCGTTCTGTTTTGGTTCATTACTTCGTCCGTTGCTAGACGTAAGAATTTGTGGACATCATTAGCAAAGAGACTAAATTGATGAGCTTGACATGATTACTTTTGCTGTTTGAAGTTGTCGCGCATTTTAGTTTCATTATTGCCGTTAAATAATTCCACTGGCTTCATCCTTTTTATATCCTTGTGTGGTAATCAGACTGAATGTACTGAATGTAGGAATTATAAGAACCCGCAATGTACTGCTCAGAACTGAATTGGCTCCAACCCCAACTGCGGACATCAATGAAATACACGAGGAATTGATAGCAGCAAATGCTTATTTTTATTGATGGAATTAGATCATGTTTTATAGAATGTAATAGTCCATATGATTGGTTGAACGAGCGTCCTCCAATCGCGTAACCGTTTGCACAGGCGCATCATATGTACTAACTCGGATGTCATGTTCGCCCGGTATAGCATTGGTCGAGCTTCCTGAACGGTGATTGGATGACATAACTCTGTACCTGGTGATGCATGGATTGTGGTCACGGAAGTCTGGATTACCGCAACCCTCTTCCCTCAGTAGCCTCGTTAATTTCGCTCTCCTGACGGTTAGACCTGCGGACTGCAATCGTTGGCTCCGCCTGTTCCTCGTGGTGTCCTTGCGTTTCGACTAGTTGTGTCTGCGCATCAACTGATGCGGCTCCGTGGGTTGTACTGATGGGATATGCAACTGATTGTCTCTCTCGGTTGTCTCTTTATGCCGCTGGTCCGTGGATGGTTTGAAGTGGATTTGGTCCACGTATCGCTTGTGCACAGTAGCATCATTCAAGTCGGTAACTTCCACCATGGCTTGACCCAGTTGTCGTGTGACTATACCAGACGCGGGTCGGAAACCATTACCACGGAAGTATACGACGTCACTGGAGTCGAGGCACTGTTGGGAAGATCGCAAGTGTCTGGATTGAAAAAGTATTGGTGGGCTCTCTTTGGTGGTTGTATGTGTTGCCTTTCGGTATTGAAGTAGGAAGTTATCCACCAACGTTTCCAACTCATGTAGCGTTTTAGTATTGGCAGACGCAATCGCACTCTTGATCGTTTTGACTAAATTCTCTGCCGCTCCGTTCGAATAGGGGTGACGAGGCGCAGTTCGAAGATGTCGGCGACCGATGCTTTCCATCCAAAGCTTCATTTCGGTCGCACAGAACTGATATCCATTGTCCGTCATAGGCACTTATGGAATCCCTTTGCGACTAAAACACTTCCGTAGTACTTGTATCACAAATGATGGTGTAGTCGTAAAGAATACCTCTGGCCATTTGGAGCATGAATCGATCAGAACAAGGGTGTAGTACCGGTTCAGAAATGGACTACAGAAATCCAAATGAACCCTTTGCCATGGTATGTAACTTTCCAGCCATGGTGTCCAGTTTTTCGGCCTTGTTCTTATTTTATATAAACATGACTCACAGTTGTTGGCGGCTGCGTAAAGGTCTGCAACCAACTCCGGCCACCAACACCTCTGTCGAGCCAATGATTTCATCTTCTCCATCCCCACATGTCCTTTATGCAATTCTTCTAGTACCGTCTTCCGTAGTGGTGGTGGGATTACCAATCGATCGTTGCGACTCAATACACCATCCAATTGTACTGACAACTCCTCTCGGTGAGCAAAGAATTGAGGATAACTCTGGTGACCACCCTTTCTTGATTGTTGAGAGTATTGCCGAGTAGTACTGCTTGGTAGATTCGCGTAAAGATTCCCGAGACACTGATGATGCTGGAGAGATGAAATGACACTATTCGGCCTCAGAAAATTGTGAGTAACGAGAGAGGAAATCAGCCTGCGGGATTGTCTTTCCTGAACGATGTTGGATGTCATAGTTGTATGCGACTAGAGCGATGCTGCATCTCTGTATCATAGCAGCAGTTGACTTCGCGATGAATTTGTTGGGATTGAACAAGAACTGTGGTGCTTGGTGATCAGTGATGATGGTAAACCGCAATCCGAAAGAGTACTTGTGCAATCATCGAACAGTCCAAAATACAGCCAACGCTTCTTTTTGAGTCTGCGACTATCCCTTTTCTGCCGCATTAAGTAGAAGTGAAATGCAGATCATTGATCATCCTTCTTGTTCTAACACAGCACCGATTCCGACGTCGGATGCATCGATGATGAGTGTAGTAGGTTTTGATGCTGAAAACGGGGCCCAAACAGAACGATCAGTAACGCAGCGAACTAAAACACGTAAGATATCTTCACACTCCACCTACCATTCCCAAGCGTCTGAACACTGCACACGGAAAAGCGGCTGCGCCCTTGTAGCAAAGTTCGGGATAAATCGGGAATAGTACTGTAGGCATCCCATCACGGATCTCGTATGCGGTTGATCCTTTGGAGATTCGATGTTAGTTGATGGTTTGAAACGTATCCACGGGAATCAACTTTGAATTGTGGAAACTGCAACTCACTCACACCAAACACACATTTGGACGGCTTGATAACCACGTTCCTGGCGGCGAATCTTTCCAGTAGCTGCGCAAGACGGGCGTCGTGTTCTTTCTTATTAATGCCGAAAATGAGGACGTCATCTGGATATGCAAAAACACTGTCGAGTTCTTTGATTACACTGTGTATTGTCGATTAAAAGAGGCCAGACGACACATGCAATCCGAACGGGAGAAAATTGTACTGATACATTTCCCAGGGTGGGCTGATTGTTGTCAAGTAGTGAGATTCAACTTCGAGTGGAATTTGTAGGTATGCGTCCGCCAAATGGATCTTGGAAAAATACTTGCAACCATTCAATGACTTCATGAAATCCTCTAGTTCCATGGTGGTCGCTGCACAGCTCCGCAATCTGGGATTCAACCTCAGCCGATAGTCTCCTCATATCCGTGGTCCTACCATCAGGTTTCATCGCCACGACGATCGGGGTCGCCCAGGCACTGAATTCAACTTTGCTTATCACACCATCCTGCTCCATCTTCTGTAACGCTTTCAGGATACCTTCCCGTTGACCGCATGGGAGGACGCGTCGTTTCAGAAAAATAGGTTCACCATCCACTTCCAACTTTAACGACGGTACTTCCATGCCACCAACATTACGGGAACAGTGAACAATTAAATGTTGAAGATATGAGGTGATTGGCATATTAATGGCCGGTAACCCCACGAATGTGCACAGGAGTTGGGGCAAGAACAGCATTAGGATAAATCGCAGTGAGTGCTGATTTCAATAGGATAGATCAGCTGCTTCGGCTTGAACTGGGTAATTGAGAAACCTGGCGTGAATTATGAACATTGGGTGAGTCACGTAATGGTTTCGTTGATTGCCGATGGAATAACACAGGAGTATCCGCATTTGTGGCAGCACACAAATCATCACTTTGCTCACAGATTTTTTGAGCCTCAGCAAACGTAATATCTTTTCTCCTAAATGAGATGTTGCTGATTCCAGCAATGAGACGGTCACAAAGTTGTTCTTCCAATCGGTCACTATAGTTGCATCTTGACGCCTGTTTGTTCAACTAGAGAATGAATTCACGGTACGGCATGTGGGCAGCTCTGACCATTGAGTTAAATCTGGCCCGTTCAGTAGCCTTAAAATCCACTGGGATAATGAGGTCCGGCAACAGGGATTTTAACTTCTCGAACGGCAATTCAGCAGGAACATTCTGGAACGCTAGATCCTTCGCCAAGGAATACAGCCCTCGGCCGCCCAATGTCAAAAAAGGACCTACTGATTTTGCATTCATCCATTCCGTATGCTGCACCATAATTCGGAACGTTCTACCCACTCTTCCATTTCCGAAGGGCTTCCGTGGTTCCATGGTTTAATGGCAGGAATCTCCATTGCGCGAAGCCAAATTGTGGTAATCAGAATAGTACTGAATGTAGAAACTATGAGAACCCGTAATGTACTGCTCAGAACTGAATTGGCTCCAACCCCAACTGCGGACATCAATGAAATACGCGAGGAATTGATAGCAGCAAATGCTTATTTTTATTGATGGAATTAGATCATGTTTTATAGAATGTAATAGTCCATATGATTGGTTGAACGAGCGTCCTCCAATCGCGTAACCGTTTGCATCGCCGAAGACCCGGAGTTCTGGTAAGCACAGGTAGAAGCGGAATTTCGGCTGGCCAGGATGACCAATCAAGTCACCAAATTTACGCAAATCGTGGGGTATATACCACGCTCCATGGGGCCTGGCTTAAGGGAAGTATTTTGCAACCCCCCACCCGATAGACCTTATGACGCAATAAAAGATGCGATCATCAACCGTTTCAGCATGAAGGAGGACAACCGTCTCAAACAGCTCTTGCACGGAATCCGTCTAGGGGATAACGGGCTACATACTCCCATACAGCTGCTCAGCTATATGAAGAGTCAGGCTTCCAGCCTGAACGTAAGTGAAAACGTGTTACGCATTTGTTGGATGCAAGCACTGCCAGAATACGTCGAAACTTCCCTTGAATTATTCGTGAATAAAGCTACCTTTTACCGGCTAGCAGAAGCCGCCGACAGTAGTTGCGCACACACCCCGTCGTCTCCACCAGTCACTTGCATACCCCCAGACTATGAGAATTGTTCGCGGAAGGACGCAAACGACCAAGTGAATCGGCGTTTGGACGAGCTAATGGCCCAAGTAGCCACGATTAATTTTTCTGCGATCGGTCGCGTTCCTCCTCCCGTTCGCGATCCGATAGTCAACAGGGACGATCCAGGTCACAAAACACCTCTTCAAACGTTTGCTGGTACCATGGAGAATGTGGTGACGCAGCCCGAAGGTGCACAAAACCTTTTAGTTACAAGTCATCACAGCAGAAAAGCACCTACACTGGCCGACACAGGCGACGACTTTGTCGGGTTTAGCTAAGCCAAGTCGCCTATTCTACGTCACAGACGAGGTCACTTGCACGCGTTTTCTAGTCAACACCGGTGCCTAGGTTAGCGTTATCCGCCCTCGTCTCATCGATCAGCAACATTCATCGACTATTCAGTTGGTCACAGCGAACCAAACCCCAATCAAAACTTACAGCGAGCGTTCACTCACATGAACCCCGGAATTTGCCGTAGTTTTCCATGGGTCTTCATCATCGCTGACCTTCCATAGTCGATTATTGGCATTGATTTCCCCCATCACTTCAACTCCATGGTCGGTCCCGTAGGCCATAAGCTTGTATACCATCTCACAGGTTGCGAGGCAATAAACGTCCCGACACACGAAACATCCGTCAGCCCATTCATCTACCGACCGCTAACAGAAGATCGGCTTCACACGATTCTGTCCGAATTCCCGGAGTTACGTCAACCATGGAACATTCTTCCACAGATCAGCACTGACATAGTGCATCACATCGTCACACGGGGTCCATCCGTCCACTACCATCTCAGACGCCTCGCCGCGGACGAACTTAAAGTCGCACGGGCATATGTTAGATCCCGGAATCAAAAAGCCCTCTTCCAGTACATGGGCCTCACCTTTGCGTATGGTTCCGAAAAATTCCACCAAAGACTGGCGTCCCTGCGGGGACTATAGGGCCCTAAATTATATCACTACGCCTGAGCGATATCCAATACCACACATCCAGGACTTGATAGCGAGTTGAGGATGATGTAAGATCTTTAGCAAAATTGATCTCGTTCGAGCTTACAAACAAATCCTCAAAATGTCCCAAACACCGCTGTGACTACGCTATTTGGCCTCTTTGAGTTTCTGTATATGCCTTTCGGTTTGAGAAACGCAGCTCGAATTTTTCAGCGTTTCATAAACCAACTACGTAAAGGTCTTGACAACATCTTCGTTTGTTAACACGACGTTTTGATCGCTAGTTCAAAGCCTAAGGAACACGAACAACACCTACACGCTCTATTCACACGTCTGACACAACATGATGTCACCATTAATTCCGCCAATTGTTCCTTTGGCGAGCTTAGCGTGAATTTCCTAGGTCATCTGATCTCGGACACGGGTCTTTCTCCGCTTAAGGACAAAATAACTGCCATTTTAGAATACCCAGAACAGACTTCTATTAAACAGCTCAGAAGTTTCGATGGATTAGTCAATTTCCATCGACGTTCCATACCCTACTGCGCAAAGCTCATGCAACCTCTAACCGATTTACTACGTGATATACCTAAACAATCCTCATTCACCGACGAGGCTCATAAAGCGTTCGCCGAACTGGAACAGTTTATCCCCAATATCGCCGCAATTTCCCATCACATACCGGACGCACCTTTGGCGCTTACCACAGACGCATCCAATGTAGCACTAGGTGCGGTATTACAGAAATGTGTAGGCGACGAGCGGCAACCTTTAGCATTCTTCTCGAAACGTTTACAACCGGCTGAGTCTCGTTGCAGCACATTCGGCCGCGAACTCCTAGCTATTTCCCTAGCTATCCGTCACTTTCGTCACATGCTAGAAGGTCGCCATTTCACCGACTTTACGGATCATAAACTGCTCATCGTCGAAGCACGGACAAACTCAGACAGATACTCTCCTTGAGAGTCATGCTACTTAGATTTTGTCACACAGTTTACTGAGGAAATAAGACACATCTCAGGTGCGCTCAATTCCGCCGCCGATGCACTTTCACGCATCCACCTCACCTCCTCGGACACCATCGACCTTAGACAACTCGCGCCTATACAGTGCATTTGCAGCTTGTCTGTGAGGCAAAGAATCTAGGGGTAATGATCACGAACGATTTCAGGCCACCCCTACAGTGCAAGCGTGCGGCTAATATAGCTCGACACGAACTTTTCAGGTTGTGCGCTGTAGTAAGTTGCAGAAGACCAGAGGTTTTTGTACCGTTGTACAAAACCATAGTGCGTCCACATTTAGAATATTGCGTACAGGCATGGGCGCCTTATTTTAAACAGGACGAACGCTGTCTTGAGAAAGTACAGCGCTTAGCAACTTGAATGGTAGCAGGCCAGAAAGACAAGGGATACCTCCAACGACTGCGGGACCTGAACCTGTTCTCC